GTACTCGGCCACCCAGCGCGCCGTGGGTATGAGGCCTCCTACCTCCAGCATTGGGAAATGGAGGTCCTGGGGGCCTCGGGTCGAGCCCGGCTTTGCTCCCCGCTGACGTAGGTGCTTGCGTCCTGACCCCTACAAAAGGCCAGGTGTGGAACCCTCCCTGGGGCCCAGGTACCCGTCCTCCCGCAGGCCTAGCCCGCCCCCGGCTTGTCCACTCCACGCCCCTACATCCTCCGGATGCCCGGCGGTTGCTAGGACACCGCGGGCCGTTAGCCGGCGCTGAATGATGACGCATCCACTGCTTCCGGTTCTTGGCGCTTCCCTGCTGCTCAAGCCAGGTCAGTGGGGGAGCTCGGCTGGCCTACCCGGGTCTGCACGCCGAGGCCGGGGGTGGACTCTGCAAGGGATGGGCTGAGCCCCGCACTCCCCGGCCCTGCCCTCGCGGCGAGCGGGCGTGAGAGCCGGGGCCGCCCAAAGGTGGGCTGGTGGTGGAGGGAGCGGGCTGGTAGTCGCTGCGTGGCCTCGGCCTTAAGACACCCGATCCCAGCTTTCTTGGAGATGGTATCGCCAGGACCTGTTTTCTCTCGATTCCGAGACTTGGGCCTGAGCTCTCCACACCAGTACTTCAGGGTCGTCTGGACTGTGTCCGACCCGCGACCCTGCCGTTCTTTTCCTTCCAGCATGACCTGCTGGGCCCCCAGCGCGTCGCCCGGAAGAGCCCACTCAACCTGGACGAGCCCTTTGGCACCTCAGGCCGCCCCGGAGGAGGATGACTGAGACACTATGGGCCACGCGCTGTGTATCTGCTCTCCGGGAATTGTCATCATTGACAATAAGCGCTACCTCTTCATCCAGAAACTGGGGGAGGGGTGAGTGTTTGGAAATGATTCGTCCCCAGGGTTATGATTGAAAGACAGCAGTCTGCACATGATTAGGGGCACCAAGGTTTTATTCTGTAGCCTATTCTTTAACTCACCCGACAGAGCCTAGTAACAGGCTAGTCAAGACAGTGGACTCTGGAGCCAGGCCTCCTGAACGACCTGTGTGACCTTGATAAGCCATGGTTTCTTCATCTGCTCAATGGAGATAATTACTATCTTGTGCCACTGATGGAGCTGTGAGGATCAAATACGATAGTGCATATAAAATGTCTTGCCAGTGCCAGGTTCGCAGCATCTAAATGTTGACTATTCATTTAATGTTCATTGAGCATCTGTCCTGTGCAGAACACTGGGTTAAGACCACAGGACCTCAAAGATTACTGTGTCCCAGCTCTTGAGCTCAAAGTGTAATAATCTTCAAACTTCTCTTAGAGTCACATCTTGGGAGGGTTTCTACTAACTGGGAAAGACATCCCCATTCTCCCCAGGGAGTTCCTCTGGGTCCAAGCAGTGTGGGAGATGACCGTGGTCCTTCACTGACCCTTTTGGCCCACAGTGGGTTCAGCTATGTGGACCTAGTGGAGGGGTTGCATGATGGACACTTCTACGCACTGAAGCGAATCCTGTGTCACGAGCAGCAGGATGTGGAGGAGGCCCAGCGAGAAGCAGATATGCATCACCTCTTCAATCACCCCAACATCCTTCACCTCGTGGCTTATTGTCTGAAGGAGCGGGGCACAAAACATGAGGCCTGGCTGCTACTACCTTACTTGAAGGTCAGAAAGTCTCCTGGCTATGGAGGGGTTGCAACAGGGCCACCAACCAAGAGCTGTGTGAGCAGTCAAGTATGTTAGGAATCAGAGGCTATGTCTTGGGTTTGACCACTTCAAATTTGGAGTTTAGAGGAATCCAAATGGGACTGTAGGGTGTGGTTGTGTGGAGAAAAGATTGGTAACTTTTAACCTAGGGAAGGGATCAGACTCAGGGAACAGAAGCTGAAAAACCAACTGTGGGGATATTTGTGTTGCAGAGAGGTACGCTGTGGAATGAGATAGAAAGGCTGAAAGACAAAGGCAACTTCTTGACTGAAGATGAAATCCTTCAGCTGTTGCTGGGCATCTGCAGAGGCCTTGAAGCCATTCATGCCCAGGGTTATGCCCACAGGTCAGTAGGAGCGCCCTGTGTACTTTCTGGGACAGAAAGAGCCCCTAAGAGAAATGAGAGGTCTGAGCTCTCCCCCTAAGGAACACCCCATGATTCTTATGCCTCCCTGGGATTCTAGCCTTCCTGACCAGAGATGCTCATGGGTCATTTCCACTTCCCGACAGGGATCTGAAGCCCACCAATATCTTGCTTGGAGATGAGGGGCAGCCGGTTTTAATGGACTTGGGTTCCATGAAGCAAGCACGCATCCATGTGGAGAGCTCCCGCCAAGCTCTGGCCCTGCAGGTAAGAGTCTGCAGGTTCTTTTGCCCACCTGTTCCCAATCCTTGACCGCTTCTGGTGCATTCCCCAATTTGGTCACATGACCATGCCCTGTGCCCCACTTTTGAGCTCTGGGGCCACTGTTCCAGGACTGGGCAGCCCAGCGGTGCACCATTTCCTACCGGGCCCCGGAGCTTTTCTCTGTGCAGAGCCACTGTGTCATCGATGAGCGGACTGATGTTTGGGTGAGGAGCATGCGGGTGGGAATCTGGGGGGAGAGAAGCTGCTCTGTACCTCCTGTGGAGTAGAGGAGCAGGAGTTTGGTTTCCAGTGCATGGGGCCCCAGGAACCATATATGTCCCCATCCCCCTCAACTTCCTTCCTGAGAACTGTCACCAACACTGTACTCAATTGCTGTACTCAGGAAGTGGTAAAACCCTGCCCTTTGAACAGGGTTGGTACAGCTAAGAGTCACAGCTGAAGGCAGTAGCTAAGCAAGGGTTGCAGAGGCCTCCAGCTAACTGGCAGTTTCTTTGTCATGTGGCTGACATTAGCATAGTCCTTTTAGTTTATGTAGTCTCCTTTCACTACAGAATTAAGAGGAGAGTTACCATCTCCATTGGTCCCCTTTTATGGAATAACCAAGTTATGCTCAGTCCCTAGGCTGTGTGCTATATGCTATGATGTTTGGGGAAGGCCCTTATGACATGGTGTTCCAGAAGGGTGACAGTGTGGCCCTGGCTGTACAGAACCAACTCAGCATCCCACAAAGCCCCAGGTGAGTGATGAAGGGGCACCAAGCACTTTAGACTCTCCTTGACATTGGAGCCTCGGCCCGGCGGATGGGTGCCCCTCAGTCACCCTGCCTTCCTCCCTCCACAGGCATTCTTCAGCATTGCGGCAGCTGCTGGCCTCGATGATGACTGTGGACCCCCTGCAGCGCCCTTATATTCCATTCCTCCTCAGTCAGTTGGAAGCACTGCAACCCCCAGCTCCAGGCCAGCACACTACCCAAATCTGAACAAACCAGTGGCCACGCTGAGGTGGCCCGTGCCTTGTCCTTCACTGGAATCTCCGTCCTTTCTATCTAGGCCTGCTCTCGCATAGCTGGGGCAGGGGGCTGGGGAGAGTCAGCTCAGTCTTCTATCTGTTCTCTTACCCTCAGGACAACTGGACAGGGAGCCTGAGTTGGGGTGGGTGGGGGGTGGAGAAAGGCAAACTGATAGATTCTGGTAAAGGATCTGAGCAGGACTGCCAAGCTTACATCATGGTCTGCTTCCAAATCAGGGAGCAGGAGAGTGTATAAATAGAATAATAAAGTGAAAGCAGCTTGGTGTGGATCTTGGTCTCATTGTTCCTGGAGAGGAGATATAAGGGGCCCAAAGTCTGGCCGTTTCCAAGGAACAGCCTGAGGAAAAGCAGGACTGGTGTTGCGTCAGGAGGCATGATTGGCAATGGCTTCTAGCTTGACTAGGTTAAAAACTTAAAAGTTGCTCTGGCTTGAGCAGGCTTCTATGCCAAGAACTGGAACCAGGGTCCCTTAAACGCACATTCAACTCATTCTTTCCTTCCTTCATTCCCAGGGGTGGATAGCTTAGAGCAGCCCAGCTGGTTTGCCAGGCAAGGGCTTCTGGGTGGAGACATCCCAGGAAGCTTGACAGCTAGATAACAGGTCTCAGCCTCAGCCTGGGGGCAAAGGGAGTGGAGGAGGCAGACATGTTGGCCCACAGTCTCTTCCAGATGGTTTTAGCTCACACATGGTTAATGATTAATGAGGCCAGTGTGGCGTGGCAGTATCCAACTGCCACTTCCTGCCTACTCTGCTGAGTAAACAGGGGCCCAGCCTTGCTGGGCTTGAAACCTGTTCCCCAGGGAAGGGCACTGTGTCCCTGAGTCACAGGGAGGGGAGGCAAGGGCAGGGTTGGCATCACTTGCTGCTGAGATTGAAGCTTCTTTCCCCCAACCCTGCCCACCCCCACATGCTGACGTCAGTGTGGGTCCTGGGGTGCCTATTAGCAAAGTTGAAATTTTCCCCAGGGCCCTGGCAAGAGGCTCCCACCAGCTAGCAGAGGAACCGAGGCCAGAAAGAAAGCACAAACGGGAGACGACCTGACTTTTAATAGCACAGCCCTAGCCCCCAGCAAAGCAGCAAGACAGTAAGCTATGCAAAGCTGTTTATGCAGTGACATAAACAACTCTAGGAGACGGCCCTGTTCCCTCCCATCCCCCAAGCTTATGACTGGGCTCCGTGCCAAGGAACTTTGGGCCAGCTCAGCCCCACTCCCAAGCCCTCGTAACACAGAGGTGCCTGGGCCAAGCCTTGCTTCCAGAGTCGGTGAATGCAGAAGCAGCAGGAAGAACTGGTCTAGTCCAACTCAAATACAGAAACTTTTGGACTTAAAACTCCTACTTGGAAAAGAAGTGAAGACTCATATCCTTCAATAGGCTGTGGCTGGACAGACTGGTCCAGGATTCAGTCCTCATTTCCTCCCTATCCTGGGTACCCCTTAGGATCCTACATCAAGGTCCCTGGGGTCATGTTTCCTGAGTCTGGCAAGGGATCCTTGGCAGGTCTCGCCTTCAGCCATGGAAGGGAAAAGGGTCATGAGCAGCAAATAGGGCAGAAGCAGCAGCAGCAGCAGCAGCACAAAGGAAGGCAGCAGAAGCTCAAGTACTCACATCACAGAGGGAACAAGAAATCGTGCAAGGAGACTGTTTATTTCGAAAGGATTTTGCAATGAACATAGTGAGTGGGCTCCAGGCAGCTGGTCTATTCTTCTCCCTCATCCTCGTCCTCATAGGAGTCGATGCCAACTTCCTCGTAATCCTTCTCCAGGGCAGCCATATCCTCCCGGGCCTCAGAGAACTCACCCTCCTCCATGCCCTCACCCACATACCAGTGCACAAACGCCCTCTTGGCATACATCAGGTCGAACTTGTGGTCCAGACGGGCCCAAGCCTCGGCAATGGCGGTCGTGTTACTCAGCATGCACACGGCACGCTGCACCTTGGCCAGGTCACCTCCGGGCACCACAGTGGGTGGCTGGTAGTTGATGCCAACCTTGAAGCCTGTGGGGCACCAGTCCACGAATTGAATACTGCGCTTGGTCTTGATGGCAGCGATGGCAGCGTTGACATCCTTGGGCACCACGTCTCCACGGTACAGCAGGCAGCAGGCCATGTACTTGCCATGACGGGGATCACACTTCACCATCTGGTTGGCAGGCTCAAAGCAGGAATTGGTGATCTCCGCCACCGACAGCTGCTCGTGGTATGCCTTCTCTGCGGAGATGACTGGCGCATAGGTGGCCAGGGGGAAGTGGATGCGTGGGTAGGGCACCAGGTTGGTCTGGAACTCTGTCAGGTCCACGTTGAGGGCCCCGTCAAAGCGCAGGGAAGCTGTGATGGAGGAGACGATCTGGCTGATGAGGCGGTTGAGGTTGGTGTAGGTGGGGCGTTCGATGTCCAGGTTGCGGCGGCAGATGTCATAGATGGCTTCGTTGTCCACCATGAAGGCGCAGTCTGAGTGCTCCAGGGTGGTGTGGGTGGTCAGGATGGAGTTGTAGGGCTCGACCACAGCTGTGGACACCTGGGGGGCTGGGTAGATGGAGAACTCCAGCTTGGATTTCTTGCCATAATCAACAGAGAGCCTCTCCATCAAGAGTGAGGTAAAGCCGGAGCCGGTGCCCCCTCCAAAGCTGTGGAAGACTAGGAAGCCCTGAAGTCCTGTGCATTGGTCAGACTGAAAGACAAGAAAGAGAAAGAGCAATGTAGGTGGGAGAGGGTCCTGAGGAACTCTATCTTCTCTCTCCACAAAAGACTAAATATCTTAGGAGTCAGAGCAAAGACTAATGAGTATTCCATAGCAGCACCATGCTCTGGAACATGTACAATTGGAGTGACTCCCTCAAAAAGGCCTGGAAAAAAATGTTCCTGACCCTTAGCATCATCAAAAGCTACCTCCCTTCCATGCCAGACTCTCACCAGCTTGCGGATCCGGTCCAGTACTGGGTCAATGATCTCCTTGCCAATGGTATAGTGACCCCGGGCATAGTTGTTCGCAGCATCCTCTTTCCCGGTGATGAGCTGCTCTGGATGGAAGAGCTGCCGGTATGGGCCATTTCGGATCTCATCTGCAAGGGCACAAACCACTGTCAGGGCCCAAACCACAGGCTGTGCTCAGCCGGGACCTCCCTCCCTCAGTGCGGTAGCTGCAGTGAGATATGTGGAATAGCTCATCCTTCTGCCAGTCCAAGATACCAGTGTGAGAGGAACCCAGACCTGCTGTGCAAGGCCAGCATTCGATTAGATTCAAACTGAGTGAGGAGTTTTCAGGGTGAGGAAAGCCAAGTCTAGGTACTCTCTCCAGAAAGAAGCGTGAGAGTCACTCTCCACTCCCCTCAATTCCACCCCCTTCTTTCTCTCACCTATTACAGTGGGCTCCAAATCCACAAAAACCGCCCGGGGCACGTGCTTTCCAGCTCCGGTTTCACAGAAGAAGGTGGTGAAGGAGTCGTCTCCGCCACCAATGGTCTTGTCACTGGGCATCTGCCCATCAGGCTGAATCCCATGTTCCAGACAGTAGAGTTCCCAGCAGGCATTGCCCATCTGGACACCTGCCTGCCCCACATGGACTGAGATACATTCACGCTGAGGAATAAAAAGAGGGGACAGCGAATAAGCCCTACATCCATAAGTCCTCACTTATAAACCTCTCTCCCATCCTATCACCTTTTAGCTAGGATGACTCAGTTGGCAAAAGTAGAAATTTGGGGCTGGACAGAGGTCAGAAAAGGCTGGCAGCCTGCCCAGGCTCCCCAACTGGAGGCACCCAGTAGGGCAGGCCAGCCCCTTAGCCTACTACTCCATGGGGTCCTTGTTAATTAAGAGCTGTGGTTCACCCAGCCGGTGTGGCTCAGTGGTTGAGCATGGAACCAGGAGGTCACCAATTTGATTCCTAGTCAGGGCACATGACCAGGTTGGGGGCTTGATTCCCAGTGGGGGGTGTGCAGGAGGCAGCCAATTGATGATGTTTCTATTTCTGTATCCTTCTCCCTCCCCCCCCCTCTCTAAAAATCAATAAAAACATATTTTTTTAAAAATCAAGAGCTGTGGCTCCACATGACCCTGCCACACTCATAGAATACTCAGGGAGGGTGGAGAGGGCAAGTGCATATGAGACCAGCGCCACTGCAGTAACTGAGACAAGGACAAGCAACTTTCTAGCTGTTCCTGATTCCTACCCTCACAACAACAGCTTCTGAAGAGCCTGAGAAAAGACAGGTTTTCCGGACCTGTCAGTTTACAGCTAGAGGCCCCCACTTGCTTAACTCTTTGCTTGGAGGATGAACAACTGAAATTTCATATAACCTTCTCCCCCTTTCTTTTCTGTGGGCTGCAGAGGTATCTCAGCCTTCCAGTCTAGCATCAACTGACCACACTGGCATCAGATGCCCTCTCCCCAACCTTTAAATCCCATCTGGCTCTGGAGATCAATCCCATCTGGCTCCTTCTCCTGCTCCCTTCTCCCCCCCCCCCCCCCCCCCCCCCCCCCCCCCCCCCCCCCCCCCCCCCCCCCCCCCCCCCCCCCCACACACACACTGCACTCTGGGAGTCTTTACCACCTTCATCCGAGGCCTCAGGCCTCAGGAAAATAGCAGCGATAATGCTGGTGCGTGCAGAGGGCAGGTGAGGGCAATAAGGGTTGTGAGCACTGGGACAGTCGCAGCCCTAAGCTGGCCCCTGCCTGTCTGAAAGTAACCCCTGACGCGCCAAAGTGGTGCAGCGCCAGGCCGCGCGGCCGCCCTGTCCCACACGGAAATGGCGGGGTGAAGGTTTCCAAATACTCAGAAAAGGAAGCGGAACCCGCGGTGAGGCACAGAGGTAACCCGCCTTGCCCCGGGCAGCATGAACGCCATCCTGCACCCCGCCCTGTATTCGCCCCCCCCCCATTTCCAATTACATCCCAGCGGAAAGCGAGGATTGGATTTCGGCCCCCGTTCCTGGGCTATAAATACCACCCCCTACACACACCTCTTCCCCTCCCCCCAACCTGGCTTGGGCCCGGGCTCCCGCTCGGCTACAGCTGTCTCTGCCCGTCCGCGCCCCCGGGCTCCCGCTGGAGAGGGGCCGGCCCGCCTCACGAGACCGAACCCCATTCCTGGCTCAGAAGCGGGGTGCTGAGTCACGGTGGGGGGAGGCTGTGGGCAGGAGGGATGCACACACAGCCGAAGGCAAAGGGGATGCTGATCCAGTCACCCGATCCCCTTCCACCTTCTGGCGCCAAGCACGTGTTCGGTCCGTGCCAGGGACTGGGTGGGGTGAGGCTGGCGGCGGAGGGCAGCCAAGCGGGTCTCCCTCGCCTGCGGAAACTGGGCGCCGCACCGCGTGACTCCCCGCAGGAGGATTAGGGCGCGAACGCTTGGTGGGGCAGGAAGGGATCTCCAGGGCCGCTCCTCTCTCCTAGAGAAGAGTCCCACTCCACCCACCCTCTTCCCCAGCCTTTGAAAGTGGACCACACGGCCCGGCCAAAGTCAGTAGCCGGACGGGGTGGGGGTGGGGGCGAGGCAAACACCCTTGCGCCTCCTTGAGACGCGGAACGCCAGATGGAGGGCTCCGCGCATCTCCGGAGCGAGCGCCCCCGAGGGAGAGGGACAGTTAGGGGGCGGGCAGGATCCTGGTGGGCCGCACTCACCATGTTGAGTCCGGGCGGTGGGTCTCACGTAGAGTCCGGGCGACGGGTCTCAGTGAGAAGTGCGCTAGCTGCAGTGCGGCACCCGCCTTATATAGGGAGGCGGGCCCGCGCGCC